CTCCCCTGGCTGCCATGCTTGGTTTTGGGGATGGGCGCAGCCTGCCACAGGCCACCACACTACATCCACTCCGAGACACCCTGAATTCTAAATGTGCCATTGTCCTGATCACCTCCAAAACAGGAAAAAATGCTGCCAATGACTATTGTAAGAGGCCATCACCTCCCTCATAGCTGTTAGAACATGGAAAAAACAGCATCTAAGAAACTATGAACACATCTAAGAAACTGTGAATGATGTTTAATTTGGGGCTTGGAAAAGGGGAATTATTGGGAGGAAGGAGTTCTCTTTCTACTGAGATCCTCAGGCCATTGAACCTCAGAGACAACAAGACAGGGATATATTTTGCGAAGGGCTCACCCATTGCTTAAGGCAACAGGGGAAAGCAGACAATGAACACCTGGATCCAGCCATTGCTGACACCGGATTTCATGAAGCAGTAATTTTTATTTTTTTTTTCACCTGCAGGGCCTAAAGCAGTGACTACACCATTCCTAGAACAGACTGGCCCCTGGCACCTCCTCATTCTGCAGTAAACACTGATGCCACTGCTCTCCTGAACATCAGTGTCCGTGGACAGGTGTGCGGTGCAGAGAAGGCCAGATCCCAGCTACCCAAGAACAGAGGCCCAGTGCCTCATGCAGCAGAGTTCTGAACTCCTGACCTCATGCGACAATTAGTTAAAAAGGACGGGAGATGTGGGGAGAAGGAGAGGGAGAGAGGGAAGAAAGGACAGAATGAGGGAGGGAGGAAAACTTATCCAGGGCTCATAGTCTAAGATGTGAAGAACCTGGCATCCAAAGTGTCGGCTGAGGGCAGGGATTCTGTCTCCCACATGCCACCTTCTGCCAGTGCCTGCCCCCTCTGCAGTGCCAGCAGGAGGCCTTCACACACCACACTCACTCTTGAAATGAGCAGCTGACCTTGGCACTACGGATGATCCTGGTAAACAAAGCTCCCTGAGTACTGGGTTCAGTCAGGTTCAAGGGCCTGGGAGAAGATGGCAACTCCTGGTTCAACAGCCTGGGAGTGGAGCAGTCTGGGTAAACCAGTTGTTGGCAAAGGAAACCTTCAGGGACACAGGTCCCAGTGCTGTCAGCCATCCTGGTGAAGCACCAAAAGGTCAACTGGCCACTGCCCTCCACTCAAGAGGGACTTCAGAAGGACCCTGAAGTGGGGCCCCAAATTTCCTAAGATCTGTACGACAGTGTACTGAAACCACAGAACCGGAAAAGACACGCCAATTATGGGTCAGGCATTCCCTCTCCGCTCTCTGAGAGCGTGGCTTCACGTGTGGGTCTAGGTGGGTTGCTAACAATGAAATCACGGTGCATCTGAGCCCAGCAGGCTCCTTCTGACTTGGCTGGAGCTGAGGAAGAAGGAGGACAGGAAGAAAGCATTCCAAGGACAGGGGTTTTCTGAGCCCAGTGTCATGGAGGTGGAATGAAGTGGGGCTGAGGGGGAAGCCTTGGGGAGTCCTCTGCTACTAGTCTTTGGCTGGTCCCTGAACTGGCCACCCTGGTCAGTAATGAGGGAACATTTGGTGCCACATCCCACTGGTTCTCAGCTCATCCCTGGGCCACTGGGAGGGCTGCAGTAAGCTAGATGGTCTGGGGGCCTGGATGTCAGTGCATGAGGACCTGTTTGCATCTTGGCTTGCTCCAGCCAGGAAGAACCATTTTTCTTCTAGAATCTACCATCTCCACATCTCAGAGCCGACAAAGGCAGGCAGCATCATCTCTCTGACATTGCTCAGGGATGGGGTTCTTGAGGGAATAATGAGGGGTGTACTAGAAGACCCTCAGCCCCAGAACAACTGCAGAGCATGTGAAGCGCAGACCCACTTTTGTTTCCTTCTGGGAACAAAGGGACAGACTTTTCCTAACATGGAAGATATAAAAATGCATTCAATCTTCAAACCAGAAGATGTTCCTGAGTGAAAAAACACAAAATAGGGATCAGAGGGGAAGGAAAATGCCCAAATTTTCTGGGAAATGAAGAAGAAAAATGGGAGCCTTGTTAAATTATCACCATTTCAAGACAGACAAGGAATTAATGTAGGTTCCTAAATGGAAAAAAAGGGAAGTAAGTCAAATGACAGTCTTAGTGAGGAACAGTTCCTAGGCATTGCTGCCTGGCATAAAAATCTTCAAGGGTGAGTCACCATTTTGCAGGGCTGGGGAGCCCTGCTGGCAGGGTCACTAGGCACAGCGCAGCCGAGAAGGCCACAGTGTGTCAGGGAGATCATCACACACTGAGACTGACCTCGTGTATGTGTTGAAGATGATGGGAACAGCTCTCACAGCCAGAGAAAGGAGATAGAGATACCAACCAGCAAGAGCAACCCCTGGGATGCTGGGCTGTAACTGAAATCATGGATGTGAAATCAGTTTCTGATAAGACATGGAAATGTGTACGTGATATTCGTGTAGGTCACACGCCACTTCCTAGGTCTGTCTGCTGAGGGCCCAGAAGCAATGACAGCCCAGTAACAATGAGCACCTCCAGCACCCAGATCTTGGCATCTAAGAACCATTCTCCACTCAGAGAAATGGTTTTCTTGGAGAAATGGCTGCTTCTGAGGCTGGGGAAGTAAGTACAAGATGGGCCTGGAACTGTGTCAGAAAGCAAGGAAGCACCTGGGAAAGAATGGGAGGTGAGGGGCACAGGAGCCTCCATGGAGGTGCCCAAACCAGCCAAATCTGGGCTAAGCTGACCATCAAAATAGTCAGAGTATAACCCATCAATTAAACAGGGATCTGAGACTGCATATTGATGTAAATAAACAAAAGTGGGAGAGGAAAAAGCCCTCCTTGATACACAGTATCATGTCTGTGGCATTTCTGCCAAAAATGTGTAACCTAAACCGTATCTTGAGGAAAATGAGATAAACCTAAACTGAAGAGATTCCACCAAATAACTGGCCATACTTCCCAAAAGGCCTGAATGAACCCATGAAGGAGCCCATGTCACAATTCAAAGTCAGAAAAGAGAAGACCAAGGAACTGAGGATTGATGAAAACCGAAGCCACACAGCAACTGGGCACTACAGGGAGCCAGGCCAGAGAGTGGAAAGAAAGAGGCGCCCCTTGCTGTGTTTTTAAACTTCCTTCTTCTATAAAGGACAGTTCTGAGACAATCAATAAAATTGGAAGAGAATTTGTGGATTTAACGGTAACACTGTACCAATGTTAACTTCCTGAATTTGATGGGTAAACTGTGGGCGATATAGGAGAAATTTTTGTTTTTAGGAAATGTACGTAGGAGGATTTAGAAGTAATGGGGCACACTGTCTGTGGCCTACTCTCAAGCAGGTGGGTGGGTGGGTGAGAAAGATCAGGCAGATGCAATCAGATATGAGCAAACAGGGAACCTGGCTGGAGGGTTACCAGAGTTCTATGTACTATTCCTGTCACTTTTCTGTAATCTGAAATTATTTCAAAATACAGAACGTAAGAACTATATAAACATTTAAATAAAATGTTCAAGTTAGGGGCTTTCATCCAGACACGCTTCTCTCCCCATTGGATCACCTGCGTGTAGAGGAGCCCAGGCTGAGGACAACACCCAACCACCCTGCTTTCTCGGGGCCCCAAGGCCTAGGTTAATTCTGGGTGCCTTCCAGAAGGGCCTCTGCAAGCTCCTGTCACTGCCTCCAGCCTTTGGTTTTCAGAAATCAGATGACTTGAGCTTGTTTATAAGAAAAAGCAGTCTCAACCAGCTTCAAAAAAGCACCAAGTACTTTGCTTTATTGACATCAAATGGAATGTTTTGTCTCCCACACAGTCCACACAATGGTAGCACAACACAGTAAAGGCACAATGAGGCATATTAAAACATAGCCAGTTTCAACAACATGGATATTTCCTGTCATGGAAAAGAAGTATCCTGCCCAGATTCACATTAACATACACGGTACATTAACATCAATCTCTAACATACACCAGGCCACAGTACGTGTTTGCACACAGGGTCACGTTCTCCAACAAACTTATTCTAATAACAGTATTCAGAAGGCACCCTATGGGACACAGGTGACAGTGAAGTTACGACACTAGACGGCCACATCTTTTACATCCAAGAACTTCCCTGGGGCCACACCCCAAACAGCTGAGGTGCAGATGCATGTCTGCAAAGCAGGTCAGAAGCCCTCCCCCCAAAAACCCCAAAACACTATCCCTTGGCATGAACAACCACCTATCAAAACTGAGAGCTGGAAAGGGTGCAGATGAGCCGTGCGTCTACCTAGGTAATACTATGTCTAGGTAATTCTATGTGATTTTATCTTCATACACAGTCTGAAGATAAAAAACACAGTTTCTTCTGCACCTCTTCCCCAAAAACTGGTGCACTCCAGCCACCTGAGGGGGCTCACCTCAGTCCCCAGAACTGAGGTTACAAAGGGAGAATTTTTAATGACTCTTATGCCTGTGGCTCTAGAGTTCCCCAAACATCTTAGGCAAAGAGCAATGAACAGCAGCTAGCAGCACGTGGCCACGTGTGTGCAGCTGTCCACAAGGACTCACCAAAGAACAACAGACTGAACAGTTCAGAGCTGGCCACACACACGTCCCCGTAATGCTGGCTGCTACCGTTCATTCCTTGTTGCATAAAACGTTGTTTGTTTTCAAAGCCAACCCTACTACTCAGTCATCACTTACAGACTAGACTGTCCAGCGTTGTGAATGTTTTGTTTTGTTTTTTTTTTTTTTTTTTTGAGACGGAGTTTCACTCATGTTACCCAGGCTGGAGTGCAATGGCGGGATCTCGGCTCACCGCAACCTCCGCCTCCTGGGTTCAGGCAATTCTCCTGCCTCGGCCTCCTGAGTAGCTGGGATTACAGGCACGCACCACCATGCCCAGCTAATTTTTTGTATTTTTAATAGAGATGGGGTTTCACCATGTTGACCAGGATGGTCTCGATCTCTTGACCTCGTGATCCACCCGCCTCGGCCTCCCAAAGTGCTGGGATTACAGGCTTGAGCCACCGCGCCCGTTGTGAATGTTTTTAACAGGTCTCCAGCAACAGCTGATCAGGCACTCATCTCTTTCAGATACAATTCCGCGGAAAACCTTGAGACAGGCCTCTCTGCCCACCGCCGTGTATAAAGAGAAAAAACGCAGTTGCTCCTGCACCTCCACCGTCAAGACTGGTGAGCTCCAGTGACCCGAGGTGGTTCGCCTCAGGAGAGTGGACGCTTCCTCACCTGGGGCTTCCTCACCAAGGGACCAGCTTCAGCGGCCCATTAGGAGCACAATGAAATGACTCTGACCCATGGTCCCTTCGGACAGCAGGTGCCTAGATTGGTGATCGGGGAGCAGCCAAGTGCACCTGAGCCAGCTTCACCTGGAGGGGACGCTCCGGTCAGCAGCACAGCCTCCTGATGCCACCACGTCACCTGCACTCCGTCAATGTCTAGGCAAGCCACGACAGGGCCCCAGGCAGCATCGTTTCATCCCCACAAGGAACATAAGGGCAGGACAGGAGCCCCACACAGACCCCTGGTCTCCGCAGGCAGCCAGCTAAGTCTTGCTTCACCGCAGGAGTGTGGCAGCGGGGCCGTGGCCGCCCTGGAACTTGAGGCTCTGCAGGTTGATGTAGGCCCCATGCCTGAGCAGGGTCTCCACCGTCTGTGCGTGCCGGCCCTGGGCGGCCAGGTGCAGCGCACTGAGCCCCTGCTCGTCAAACAGGTCAATGACGTCAGCGTTGACCAACTCCTCCACCACCTCTGAGTGCCCGTGGGCGGCGGCCAGGTGCAGCGCCGTCTGGTTCAGGGGTCCCCGGGCCAGCACATTGGCCTTCTCCTCAACGAGCAGCTTGACGGTGGCCAGGTGTCCGTTGCGGGCAGCCAGGTGCAGGGCAGTGTAGCCGTCCGAGGTCACGGCCTCCTTGCCGGCGCCCCGATGCAGGAGCAGCCTGGCAGTGCTAGTGTGCCCCGTCTCAGCGGCCACGTGCAGGGGCGTCTGTGCCAGCAGGTTGCAGACGTTGACGTCGGAGCACAGGTCGATGAGGATGCGGGCCACGCGGTAGTGCCCGCGCTGTGCAGCCAGGTGCAGGGGTGTCCTCCCGTCCAGCGTCTGCGCGTTCACGCTCATCCCCGGCTGCTTGGCCAGCAGCTTGACGATGGGCAGGTGGCCCTGCCAGGCTGCATAGTGCAGCGGCAGCCAGGCGTCCTTGCCCGGCAGGCTCACATCCACGCCTCGGCGCAGCAGGATGCGCACGATGTTCTCCTGCCCGTGCTGGCAGGCCACGTGCATGGGCGTCCGGCCCTCAAAGTCCACCTCGTTGACCGAGGCGTTCTTCTCCAGCAGCAGCCGTGTGCTAGACTCGTCCCCGCTCTGGGCGGCAAAGTGGAGGGCCGTCCACTGGTCCTCATCCTTGGCGTTGACGCTGATCTTCCGTGCCAGCAGGAGCTCCACGATGCCCCGCCCCCGCCTCTCCACGGCCATGTGCAGCGGGGTGGAGCCCCTGCGGTTGGTCAGGTTGGGGTTGGCGTTGTTGAGCAGCAGCCACTTGACGCACTCCTCCTGCCCAGCCTCCACCGCCAGGTGCAGCAGGTTGGCGCCGCCATCCAGCACCAGGTCCACGTCCTGTGGCTGCAGGATCTTCATCAGCTTGCTGGTGTCCCCAGACACGATGGCATCCACAAGCTTCTTCTTCTGGACGTCTGTGGTGCCCAGATCTGCAGGAAGAGGAGAGGCAAGGGTCAGAGTGCAGCTGCACACCCAGGCACGTGGTGTCTCGGGGACCCTGGCTGTGGCCCTCAGCGGGAGGAGTGCCACAGCCTCCGGGCTGCTCACTGGTCACCTGACCATGTTTGAGCGCTATCTGTGCCTCCTTATTAAGGTCGGTCCTAGCGGGAAGCCCCAGGGCAGGCCAGAGAGTGTCTCCCAGGTGCTCATTAGTGGGTTAGCAGAACAAAACCAGCCCTCACTGTCCTGCAGGGTGGCGAGCCCCCTTGGTGCTTAGAGATGATAGTGACTGCACACATTCCTTCATTGAAGAAAGAAGAAAAAAGGGCACAGACTAAAAAGACCAGGCAGGATCCCCTTCACCTGGAAGCCTTAACACCTGCGACGCCCCAGGCCTAGCGGCCTGCAAAGCTGCTGCCCAGAGCTGGAAGGAGCAGCTGCAGCTCCCACCCCACCTCAAGTGGCACCTCCTGATCCGGGGAGGTTGAGAGGCACATTTTCTATGACAATCCTGAAGGGAACGAGCCTCTCGTTACAGGAGAACGTCAGTCCAGCACTCAGGATGAAAAGTTTTATTTACCACAAAAATCCTACTGCCGTGTCTGGAATTCCTGAAGCGACTCTCCTCCACCCTCGTGTGAAGCACAGGGCATGTGGAAGGAGGTGGGGTCCAGGTGTTAAGAAAACGGACCCTCCCAGTCAGGCTCAGTGTTTCAACACCGGCATTCCGAGTTGAGCCAGGAAAGTAATCCTCTCTCCAGCATGAAGACGAGATGTCATTTCAGAGTACTAGACCCAAAGAGAATGTTCTAGAACATATTTCTCCATGGGCGATGGGCTACTGTGAACAGAGTCCACACACGCAAAAGGCCCGCCCAGGCCTTGTAACGTGTTGGTTATCCTTGGAGGTTTTAACACCAGGCTACCCTCGCAAACTACCTGTGAGGGAGGTGCTCTTCTCACTTAGCGAATCTTGCCTTTTTATATTAACTTTGATGGCTTTTGTGTTTGGAAGATGCTTTTTTCCCTCTCCTGGCCCCCGGGTGCTGGGCCTGGTGCTCATTCTGGCCTCCTCTGCCAGATGCAGGGCACAGATGTGGTCCTGTCCTGGCACAGCAGTGTCTGAGCAGAGGGTGCAGGACTGCCATCTGCGAGGCAGGAAGCCCAGCAGGGAGTGGGGCTCGACCCTTCCCCGGGCTCACTGGACTGTAGCCCTGAGGTCAGCCTCTGCCCATGGCATTGGCACAGGCAAGATGGCTTCATGAGCTGGTGATATGGCCTGTTCCCCTCACATGCTAAGTGACACAGGACACAGCCAAATGCCCAACACCCAAAATTAATTAGTTAAGACACAGAGAACACAAAGAAGCATCCTTGCCGGGTCAGGAAACTGTCCCCTTGATTCTGTGTAGCTGCCCACTGAGTCCAGTCAAATGTCCCGCCGAGCCCCAGATCTCTCGGGACACAAAGAGCCATCCCCACTCACCGCTAGTCGAAGGCTCCCGCTCAAAGGACAGCGACAGCGATCCTCTGGAAGAGAAGGCGGAGTCCACCGAGGACACCCCTGAGAGCCTCTTCCCGCTGCCGGTCGATGGCAGCTTGGACTCAGAGGAGCTGCGGCTGAGCTCCTCTGGGCCCTCGACGGCCTGGGAAACTCCGGAGTCCAGCTGCGAGAGCAGCTCAGAGAGGCTGTGGTCATTATCGAAGGTGGGGGCGGAGGCCCGCTTGAGCCTCGAAGACACAGGCACCACCTGCAAAGACGCAGAAGCGGGGCAGGTGAAGACACCCCGAACAGCCCGCCCGTGTGACACGAACACCGAAGAGCCAGGTGGGCCATGGGAGTGACGTGGGGGAGGAAAGGAGGACCCTGGAAGCAACGCAAATAACAGATCGGCCACCACATCCGCACAGCTAGGGAGCTCAAAGACGGAGCTACAAAGGCTGGCGCGGCCCACCCAACACAAAGATGTCTTAAGGAAAGATCGACTTCATTAAAGTGCAAAATCCAGCCCCAGGCAGCTCTGGATGCTGCCTGCTCAGGAGCACTGTACACCCAAACGAAGGTAGATGGTGTCAAGCTAGAGTGAGAAGCATGTGTGGTGGGGCACAGCCTGCCCAGCACAGGCCAGCATTAGCAGGAAACCAGAGGACAGAGAGGAACTGGGCAGGACCCCCACACGTGGCCGCAAGTGCCACCTCCCCGCGGAGCCACGCGGGGCTGGCCTGGGGACTGTGTGTGGACGAGGGAAGGGGGAAGGGCCCAGCCACAGGGGCGAGGGCCGATCCAATCCAATGGGACCTTTTAAAGGGTCTCGCTTCAGGGACTGGAGGGCAGCAGGCTTCTGGTAAGTGAGTGGAATCTGACAGGATTTCATGCCCCTTCCTTTAGGCACGCCTGTTTGCTCCAGATCCCCACCCTTCGGGGGACGGCTCGATGTCCTGCACTGTTGCTGGGTGTTCCAAGCAACCCCCACATGTAGGTTACCTTCCCTCCCTTATCAGGGCCCAAGTCTGCCTCTTTATCAGCAGCGCCCTGGGCACCTTTGCTCCCAGACTCACTGGCACATGTACACCTTTACATTTAGACAGCGGGCGCACCCTGCGTGTTTCCTGATCTCCTGAGTTCACACCAACAGCCTGGGAGCAATTGCCCAACACCAGATAACAGATTATAAAGCTCACTTATCAGGCTCGGCCTCACAGGTCTGCTCCAATCTCATTACCTGAAAGGCTAGTGAGCCAGCCTTGGCACTGGGAATTTCTCATCACATCTGAAATCACCTCGGTGACACTCATCCAAGTACAGACCACTTATGAGCAGCTACAAAGGGACTGGATCGCCAAAGGCACCTACATACCAGCTCTCCCTCCCCGGCTGGGGCTGGGCCTTCTGATCCCGTGGTTCCACACACATCACATGAGTGGCTTTTTGGTGTCAGGGAAGCCCTTACACCACTCACGCAAAATCACACAGGAGGTGGGGCCGGGATGCATCGGGGCAGGGGGCCTGAGCCCCCGTGGGACATACGCTTCTAACGGAGTTGGGTTCAGGATGGGCTCAGAAGAGAGGCAGAGTGGCCCGGGCGGCAGGCGTTCTGCACAGAGGAGAAGTGGTCTGGAAACCCCTCCCTGGACGCCGAGGAGACAAAAGACCCCCGTGGGAAGGCCTGTTACCTCACTCCTGGGCTCCGGGGGGCTTTTCACATCCAGGTCATGAGCAGTTTCTTTCACTTCATCATCAGGCTTTTCACACAGGTCCTCGGTTTCAGAAGTAATTTCTTTTGGGGAGAAAAGGGGACATGTTCCTGGGATGACAACTGCATGCACACATGTTCTATTTAAACGCTGGGCCTCCACGTGCTGGGGATTTCTCACACGCCTCAGCCCAGGCTGAGCTCGCCCGGAAAGCCCAGGAGCCCCCCATGGGCAATTGCCAGCCAAACCCAGTCCCCCATCAGTAATCATTTGCAGGCCTCACCAGACTCAAAGCAGGAGTCTTCCCCGGGGGAGCCCCACCTGCTAGATGCAGGGAGCAGAGTGGCCAGCACCTGGCGGGTAAGCTCCCCATGTATGCATTTTCTGCCATAAGCTTTAAATGCAAACCTATCCCAGAGACACATCTTTCCCAGGAAGTAAATTCCCCAAGAGAAGGGCGGCGCCTCCAGCCACCGGCCAGGTGAGTCTGCGAAGAGCATGGCCGCACCTGAACCTCAGGCTCCCGAACAGACTCCTCTGGGCAGCAAGCACCCTGGCTGGGTGCAGGGGGCAGATGGTTGGAGGTGACTCATTTCCAGTCGCTGTAGCCCAGCCATGGGTACCAGAGGCCACGGTCAGGTGCCGGGATAACGTATCTGTGCAGGGCTCATTTCGGCCCACCTGTTACACACCCGGTTCCTCACCCAGGCCTGGTCTCTGCCCCTGCCCTGACCGTCACCTCTGTTTCCTGTGACACCTGCAGAGTGTGCCGGGGAAACCCCGGGGTGCTCACCTTGGAATGTGGGCCGGACTCGCGGATCCCCCTGCCAGCACCGCTGCATGAGGCGCATCAGGTGGCTGCAGGCACGCGGCCGGGCTCTGCACACAGGCGGCAGGTCGGGGCGGTGGCCCTTCACCACCTTCACCATGATGTGCAGGATGTTCTTCTCATCTGCCAAGGGAAGGGCGACAGTCAGGGGCTCTGTGGGGCTGCACAGCAACATGTCACCCTCGGGAGGAAACAACACACTCGCCAGGGGCCACAATGGGGCCGTCCCCACACCAGCTTCCCTCCAGCTTCACAGCCAGAGCTTCCTGTAACCCTCATCCTCACAGGGTACGGTGCTCTCTCGTCCTGGTTGTGAAATCTACCTCCTTCCCTGGGTTCTGATCTATCAGATGGAGCAGACCATTCTGGGCATCCTATCCAAGGGACGATGAGGTTCAAGAGAGAACAGTATCTTATGAGGCTCTTTCCGTCAACGGCCCATGCCAGGAAGGGAACGAGGCTCACGCACCATAGAGGCCACGGCGCCCTGCACCCAGGGGACCCACCTCTGTCTACAGTCCGAAGAAGGCTTCCTCAGTTTCAACTCCAGCCCCAAGCTCAGGCCCCCAGCTGGCCTCCCCTGCAGATGCACCAGGCAGGGTTGGGGTGTGGGAGGGGTCTTTCCCTTCAATTCACAATGCGGGGCCCCGCCTGTCCTTCCCGACCTCCTTCACAAGCAAGCCTGGGCCCTCGTCTATTATCGTTATTATTGCCATGACTTCTACCCTCACAGGGAAGGGCCCAGGATGGCCTTCAGTGGGTCAAATTCTTTTTTCTGCTCAGCCTGGAACCCTCGAGGTGGACTTCAAGCTTCTTGTTCCCGACAGCCCTCTCCGCCCTCCGGATCCAAGCATGCCGCCCATGGAATGGCAGCTCTTTGGAGAGGCCACGTGCCTTAGCAGGGTAGAAAATCAGCCGAGAATCACCCACAGCTGCCAGGATTCCATACAATGTTTTGCTCCACTTTCCCATTAAATCTTGTGTAATAAATATCTTAAGTATTTAACAGGTTATTTCCATGATTATTCACACTTCCAAAACCAACCAATCCTCTAAATAAAATGAGAGTGAACTGAAGGAAACACCTGGAACACTTCCTGCTGCCAAACACAGACTGGAAAAGCTGGGGAGAGGCCTTGTTCTCCTGCACCTTGAACCCCTCCTATCTATTAACCCATTTATACTTGAGATTGTAATTTTTTGAATTTGAAAAGTCGGACCTTGGCGATGACCTTGAGCAGATTATTAACTCCCAAATGCTTGGCATTCCAATAATGGAACACTAGGCATATTCAGCAATAAAGCACAGGGGCTTGAGCCTTGACCTGTCCCCTGTGCCTGGCTTCGGGTGTCACATCTATCAGACCCCCTCATACCACCTGGCATACCGCCACATTTCACAGGCATTCGGGCCATAGGCCACTGTTTGGGAGAATGCACAGAAGGCAAGAAAGTTGACAGGCAGTCAGACAACACAGATGGACACCTGCCAGCAGGGGCCTGGTGGAGCATGTCCACGCTTTCAATTAGCATTCTTTTAAAGCTCCCAGGATGGCTGGGTGTGGTGGCTTAGGCCTGTAATCCCAGTACTTTTGGAGGATGAGGCAGTTGGATTACCTGAGGTCAGGAGTTTGAGACCGGACTGGCCAACATGGCGAAATCCTGTCTCTACTAAAAATACAAAAATTAGTCAAGCAGAGTGGCAGATGCCTGTAATCCCAGCTACTCAAGAGGCTGAGGCAGGGAGAATCGCTTGAACACAGGAGGCAGAGGTTGCAGTGAGCTGAGATCATACCACTGTACTCCAGCCTGGGCAACAGAGCGAGACTCTGTCTCAAAAAAAATTAAAAAGCTGCTGAGATACTGGATCTTGCGATGCTGGGAAGATCTCTTCTCACCCAGCACCTTCCCCATACGTCGGCTCCTAGTCTGAGCCCCAACTAGCAAGTTGCTAGGCCTTGACGCTCATCTTTATTTTTAGACATTTTAGGTCACACCAAAAAATGCCATGAGTAGCCTGGAAATGTTTTTAGAGGAAAAGGGAATCTCTCTAACAAAGCTAAAAACTCACTTATTTTTATGATAAATAAGTCAAGCTATGGTAACATTGAAGACGGTGTTCAGAGTGGTGGCTGCCTGGCAGGGGAAGGAAATACCACCGCTCTCAAGCTGGGCAGGGGGCACTCCCACGTGCAAATCCACAGCACTGGGCAGCTCTGGGGGTTGGTTTCATAAGCACGTGGGTATACAGAATGCTCCTGGACTTCATGCTTAACACAGTGACATGCTAAGCTTTGTTATGTATATTTTACCACATTTTTTTTAAAAAGTGAACAAACAAAAAGAATTAGATGGAAATACCAGCACAGGAAACCCCTGGAGACAGAGAGCAGACGGGTGGTTGCTGGGGCTTGAGCAGGAGGAACGGAGAGGGACTGCGGAATGGGCGTGGGCTTTGTCTTTGGGCATGATGAGAATGTTCTGGAATTAGACAGTGGTGACGTTTGTTCAACAGTGCCAGTGTACTTAATGTCACTGAATTATAGACTTTCAATGGCTAACATGACCAATTTTATGTTATATACATTTTACTACCCAAAAAAATCTAGCTGGCACCTAAAAAAATTCCATTGAACAGGTCCTTTCAGATCTGTGCATTTTCCTGCATGCAAATTATACCACAGGGCAGCACCTGTGGGAGCGTGGGTCACAGGCTCTGTTTTAGGACAGAGAAAGGACAACAAGATGTCCCCCCATTATTTCAGGAGAGACAAGCATACTACACCTCAAAGGCGGGTCCACTCACCTGCAAACGGCTTCTTCTGCGTGAGCACGCCCCAGATGACGATGGCAAAGCTGCAAGAGAAACCAGGCGCGTTAGCGTCTGACAGCCAGAGACTCAAAGCCGAAAGCTCTCACCCTCAGCAACAGGCGTGAAGAAACCTGCTCTGAAGCTTTCCAAAGACAGAGCCATAACACTGAGATATTTCTCCTGTTTTTAAAAAGAGAAAACCCTCTACAGTGAAGCCCAGCAAGCAGATGGCTCAGATGTCAGACAGACTCAAGTAACTCCACCAACTGGGCTGCAGATCTTTAAGCAGCGTGAGGGACTCCCAAAGGGGCTGCCACCCTAGGCGGGGAGTGAGCTCCTGGGGACAGCACCTGTGTGCCTATCATCCCCTCTCAAGCGCCGCGCACAGAGCACCTGCACAGGCATTTACTGAAGAAATGGATGAGTAGGTGAATGAATGAATGGGCTACTCCCATGCCCCCTCAATAATGATTTCATTCTCTGAAAACACGGATTCCAATTCCGAGCAGCGTTCCTCACAGGCTCGCTGAGATGTCATCATCAGAAGGCTGTTAAAGAAGGCGCATAGAACACGGGGAGGCAATCCAGTCAAAAGCCTGGAAGCTTTTTTAGGGGGCTGTTTAGAAATACATAGATGTATCAGGGGTATGTTCACGTACATGACTCTGGATACACCAAAAAAGTACCCAAACTGATAACAAACAAACACACGAAAAAACACAAGTCCAAAAACAGCCGCCACGGAGCACTGAGTTGGTGAGAGCAGCTGTAATTCACCATTGAAAACTGGTTCAAGCTGCAGGTTCAAAAGTTGAAACTCCAAAATAAATGGAGAAGCTCTTACTCTCCCCAAACTCTACAAGCTGTGACTAGTCTCCAAAGTGACACTTCAGGCAACTCTCAGCTTAAAGCCCCAGCTAAGCACATGCACAATGGCTACTGTCAAACCAGTCGGCCTGGGCTGCAGGGGTGGCCATGACAAAAGGCAGAGCTCAAATGCTGAGTCAGACCCACAGAGCTGAGGGTGAGGGCCGCAGTGGGGGGCTTAGTGCTCAAATGC